GTATATCTCAGTATACTATATACTTAGTATATATTTCGCTAATAAACAATAATAGATCAAATGAAATAATATATATGTATATATAAATGGTAATATGTGAAATATTGTTATAATTTAAAATAATTGTTTTCTTGTTACATTTTTTACATTTTAATTTTTTTTAAATGCAATTTATTGTTATGGTGCCAAAGTTGCATTTTCAGCAGCCATTACTCCATTCTTCAGTGTCACATGATCTTTCAGAAATCATTCTAATATGTAGATTTGGCGCTCAATAAATATTTCTTATTCCTTATTAATATCAATTTTGAAAACAGTTTTGCTCCTTAATATTTTTGTGGAAGACGATAAATTTTTTCAGGATTCTTTGATGAATGGAAGGTTTCTAAGAAAAGCACAAGCATTAATTTTAAGTAATTTTTTGTAACAATGTAAAATATTTACTGTCATTTTGATCAATTTAATGCATTCTTACTAATAAAAGTATTGATAAAATAAAAAAAGTAATTGAATCCAACATTTAGAATGGTAGTGTAAATTATAAATATAAATTTTAAGTATTATTTAAAAACATCCATATAATAATTTTTAAATTGATGTTTATTTATTGAGGTATTATACTTTATAAATATACATTATAAATAAAAACTTATATAAATGTATAACATTAATGCGTAAATAACAGTTTAAAGGGGTCATATGATGCTATTTTAAAGATCATTATTTATGTTCATGGATGAGCTAATGATTTATTAACGTAGTAGAATGAAGCAGGGTGAGGCTGAAAGCCGTCGAAGCGAAACGAGGCCGCTTAACGAGCGCGACACACGGCTCGAAAGCAGCGGAGCTTTTATTATGCCACAGTCGACTGCTTCCGCTCCTTCCGGTCGTGCGTATGTGGGGGAAAAAGCAGCGCTGTTTTATCATACTAGATACATTTGAAAGTTCTGTTATAATGCTACTCTGTGCTAAAACGCACAACATATTAAAGCGTCTTTGGTGTTTCCGTGTTTTCTACAAAACAAAACCGGAAATCGAGGGGTTATGATGTCATTGGCAGGCGACACAATGACACTATGGACACGGTCCGTGTCACTAGTTAAATTTGCTTATTTCTCTGGATTTAAACATTCTTCGAAACATTTGGGATAATATAAGTACACAAGTCAGCAAAATATATAACACTGTACTAGTGGTTTTTGGATGTTTTAATAAAAAAATCTTACATATTGTGCCTTTAAGTAAAAACGAGAAGAAATTGCTTTAGTAATTTAAGCACTACTTTTAATGGTCAACTACTCGACTAGTCGATTACTTGTGCACATTTCTAATACAAGTGTCTGATTAGATTACATTATGATCTAGGCTTTTATCAAGGGTTGCAGGTTCAATCTCAAGTGTTTAAGATATATAAACCACAGTTACTGAGCCTCACCACCTTGATCTGTCACCACTATTAAAGTTGAGCATTGTGCTCTTGTTCTCATGACCCAGCTGTTAGTTACGACATTGCCCTTTAGCAGACGCTCCGTTAAAGTGTAGTTTACACTCTTATAATGCACTTGCATGATGCTTTTACACTGTAATTACTGCAATTACATGTAGTATATTGCACAGGGGCTCTTATAATAGGTATATATAAAGCACACGGTGGCCTCTTGAGATGAAATTATAGGCCGATAACGGTGTCTGTTTGTATCAAGTGCTAGCTTCCATTCCCTAGATATCCTTGTTAAATAAAGTGCAGGTTATCACAGCACAATTGTGAGTGTGAAAATTATTTAGCATAACTTACATTTCAGACACATCAATAATAATAATAGTAATAATAATTTTATTTTATAATATTTTATTGTTATGAATACATTCTAATCATATTATTATTATTTTATGAAAAATGTGCAGTCAAGTAAAATTATTATTACATTTATTCCCTAACTAATTATTACATTTATTCCATATATTTACCTATTATTCAGATTTTATTTTTTATTTAAATATAATTTGTTACGGGAAAACAATAAAATATATATTTTTTAATTATTATTTAAAATATCAGATAGATGTGAATTATCAGTTACCTGCTTTCTAGATATCTTTAGAAAGTTTAAATGTGACTGAGAAATCAAATGTTTGCGTGTTTCTTTCGTAGGAATAGATGCAGGGAAACATCTCAGCTTCTTCCCTTGTGTTCGTCTCCTGCTGACCTGCTTCCAGCCACCTGCTGTCTGTCCCTCCTCTTGCTCTCTTTCTCTCTTTCCCTTCTTTCCATCTCTGTTCTTCTCTCTTTCACTCTTCTTGTGAAGCCCTGCAGCCGTGCGCTGCCACCTGCCTCCTCAGAGAGAGGGAGAAACTAGGGCTCCAATTAACACAAGTAATTAGGGCTTTATCTTTCTCCCCTCCTCCCGTTCTCCACCTGTCTCTCTCTCTTTCTGTCTGCCTTCTCTTTTATTCAGATATTTTAGCTCTCTCATTCTGTGTGTGATAGTGTCACTGACACCATCTCCACTGTGCTGTGGCTCTTGTTGTTGGACGTGTGACAGAAACATGGTATGACGCTATTGTAAATGTATTTACTCAGTGCAACTTATAACATCCAAGTGAAAGATATAACACCAACATGTCAGAAAAAAAAGAAAGAAAAAAAACAGAATCACTGATTTGGAAAAAGGATCACCCCCCTCCTAAAAATGACTTGTAAACTCAAGCAGGTGTAGTTAATCACCTTCTCAATGGCGCACCATTTGACATTCAACTGTGATCAGCTGTGGTCATTTTGATTAGCTCAGCATGAAAAGAGCTTTCCTGGAGCATTTCAGTCCTTGGTAATACAACTGAAGCAAACAATCAACTATGGGTGGCAAGGCACTGCCAAAAGATCTCTGGGATAAAGTTGTGGACAGGCACAAGTCAGGAGATGGATACAAAAAAAATTCAAAGGCTTTATCAATGCCTAGAAGCACAGTGAAGTCTATTATTAAGAATTGGAAGGTATTTGGAACAACACAGACCCTCCGTGGATCAGGACGTCGCTCCAAACTGGATGAAAGAGTCAGGAGGAAACTGGTCAGACAGGCTACCAAGAGGCCTACAGCAACTCTGAAGCAGTTGCAGGCATTTATGACAAAGAGTGGTCATTGTGCGCATTAGGGCTGTCAAAATGACTGAAAAACTAAATTCGAATTTTCCACTTAA